GACGGGAGTTGGCCAGGTGGCTAGATTTATTGACCACTTATACCCTCACGACTCTTGACTACACTTTACATATCACAGACTAGAGTCCTTAGTCTATTGTAGTCTCCACTAGCCCTTTCCCGGTAATGGATTTAACACAGGAATTAGAACAGTCTCACTGTACCTACAGCACACACAAAGCCTCTTCTTCACAGGCTGAATTTCAAGTCTCAACTGAACTCGTTGCCATTTCTTCTCAATCATCTTCGACCACAGTCTCAAGACACTCCTTCATTTCTGATTCTGCTGGCCTTGCATCCTCGCTATAAAACATCGGGGCGTACCCAACAGGAAACACCACTTCGTAATAGTTCATCTGTTGATATAAAAGTGTCTTTACCTCCCGTTGCGTGTTCATTCTGTTTTATCTGTTTAACAAGCCGTTGCCTGGCAATGAAAGTCTACGCAGGCTCTGCAATTCCGGCTTTCAGGCGTCATGTCACAATATTCAAAGGCACATGTGAAACGTAGCCTCATTTTGTAGGCAAAGTTGTTCAATCCGGTAGAGTTTGACCGATGTTTCGGAGGAACTAATTACCTCCACTATCAGGTTCAAAGAATAACCTAAGCGAGTAGCGAGCAAGAAGCAGGCAGTAAGCAGTGTTGGTTACTTCCTTAGCTTATTATTCGACCCTGAAAATGGAGGAACTACGATTTCTCGAAAAGTCGATGAATTGTTGCACTACATATCGTTACGTCATAAAAGATAGTATCCTTCATGGTCACTGCTACGACAACCTGAAATCCAACAGCAATGTTTCACCTAAACAACATTAACCAATCGATCTTTGTCACGGAGACGTAATGTGTTTCCTGTGAGGTATGAACTGAGTTGTAGTGTCATTGAACTTCAGCATTCAGTTTCATCAAAATTAAACATATCTGCTGTTAAAGTCACCAAATTACTTTCCCAAAGTATGAATTCGACTTTTGGGCACGCGGTGGCGTAGTTTGTTGAGGCAATATGCTACAAATTGGAAGGTTGCGGGTTCGATACCCGATGAAGCCACTGAATTTTTCATTGACCTAATTCTTCCAGCCGCACTATGGTCCTGTGGTCGACTCAGTCTCTAACAGAAATGAGTGCCAGCCATCTTCCTAGGAGTAAATGGCCGGCGCGTAAGACTGAAAACCTCACCGCCATATGTGAACCGATTGTCTAGAAGATGTGGAAGCCTCGACGCCTCACAAACCTGTGGGCCTCCACGGCATGTTACAAGTATAGCTTTAGGAATTCGATATTAATTCCGAAAATGAAATCTCCCTCACTGTCGGTCAGGCTTCGAAAGGAAGACAGATTTTGTCCTGATGTGATGAAACAATACAGTAAAACTTGGTTATAGCAACATCGGTTTCTGCGACACCTTGTCTATTGCGTCAAATATTCAATGGTACGAACTAATTCCTCATAAAGCAACTGTTTTTATACCTTGCTTAGTACGACATGCACAAATGCATCAACCTCGTATGTAACGTCATTTTCATTCCTGAATTTCTCTGATATCGTGGGAAAGTTCGATGTGTCTGCCCACCCTCACTTTCTCTACTTGCTGACTTGACTGTCCTGGAAGAATACGACCACGGGCTGCAAGAGGAGCGTGGTTTTTATGCGAAAACCAGGTTGTGGGGTGGGACTGCGTGAATAGTGCAAGAGGACGCGGCAGGTTGTTAACTGCATTCCTTTCCTAGAATCTCGTCTAACAGGACCTCACATTTGGGCAATTCCACGTTAATGTTACGTTAGTCTGTACTTAACTACGTATTTCACTAAAAAATGCAACATTTTAACTCGGATTTTGGTAGATTTTTACGTGACTAACATAAGGCTACTGTGGAAGTGCCCATTTCGGTTACAACGACATTCGTTTATAACGACACTAGTTTTGGGTCCCTTTGATGACGTTATAACCAAGTTTTACTGTATATCAAAGTGACACAAATAAGTAAATAACATTATTCGCGTCTTCTGTTTGGCTAAAAGCCCGGGAAAGATATTCATATGGGACCCAGTACTGATGCCTGATGGCAGTTGTACTGACACTTCCTGCTGTCTCCCTTCAGGCTTCAAAATGTTACTACACGTCCCTTGCACCTTGCTGCTAAATGCAACAGATTTTAGTTAAGTGTACATTAGCGCTAGAGTGCTATGCTTAAAGCACGTCTGTGGCGGTGTGGACATAGTTAAGTCATTGTTCATGTTAGTGGCACTTACGTGTACAGAAGCGAGGTTCATCCGATGAATCCCCACAATCATTAGCCGCGTCACAGTAACGGTTGAGAGGCACACAGCGACCGTTATTGCAGGGGAACTCGGAGCGGCGGCAGGTTGGCGTGGAGGTAGTGACCAGCACGATGGTCAGGACAGCAACCAACAGAGTGACCATTCTCACCGTCAGACCTGGAACAAGAGACCTCAGTACAGAACTCACCCAGATTCTCAATTTAATGTGTGGTTCATTTGGATAGACTCCGACAAGCGGATGTCGGATGTCAGATAGGATGAGGTCATTTGAAGTACCATGCCAGAATTTACCTGGAAGACTGAGTAACACCATGAAACACTTCAGAATAACCTTTGTCCCTGCCGAAAATTCGAACCGGACACCTTGCCGAATTGAAGTCAGAAGCTGAGCCATCTCCTCCGGCCACTCGTTTAACCAACGAAATTCAAGTTTACGCATATAATTAAAATAAATGGTAATGAGGATTTGAATGACACGCACAAACACTACAATGATGTTTGCACAGTGCTTTAACACGAGTGGCTACCGTACATATTTGTAAAAGATTATAAGGGTATGAAGAAAGCATCTTACATCTTACATCAAATCTTACATTATAAGGGTAAATTTCGTAACTGCAGAAGATCCTGCGACCGGTCAACTATCTCAAAGTTTCCCGTGGTTTTCTTCAATCCAAGAGCAAATGATGAGTTGGTACTCAAATTCCCGCATTGCACTGCTTGCTTCACACGCAGCCCTTCTAACTTCATATAAAAATTAATTCTGATCATGTACATTACTTCTAACAGAAGGACGAGTGGGCACTGCCTGGGAACCTTCAAATGTAGTGTATCTCATTACCTCTCCACTTCATTTCTCTCTCTCTCTTGTTACAATTGCTAGGTGTCAGTGTCAGTGGCTGAGTCCATGGAGCGAAGCCTCCTTTTGAGAATTTCACCTCATCAGAAAGTTTTCTGCCGTTTATAAAATGCGAAGGTTCATTACCATGTTCACAAAAACTGACCACTTGAATCCCTCTTGAGCTAGATGAATTCAGACTTTACCGTCACGCACTGTATATTTAGGTTCAATTTTAATATTACCTTCATGGTTTTCAGATTAACATAACATTTCTTAATCTATTCCATGCATGCTACATGCCCTGCACATCTCATCCTCCTTGATCTGATCACCCTAACAATAATTTTGGTACAGTGTACCTTTCTAAGACCGCCTCTGTGGTCTAGTGGTCAGAGTTCATGGCTACACATCCGGAGGTCCCGGGTTCTATTCCTGGCGCTACCAGATTTTCTGAGAAGTAGGGGGTCTGAGATGGGGTCCACTCAGCTTCGTGAGGATAATTGAGGAGCTATTTCAGGGAAATAGCGGCTGCGATCTAGAAAACCGAGATTAATGGCCATGGGGATCCGTTGCGTTGACCGCGTGACACCCTCTATCTGCAAAAGTTGGCACTAACTTCGCCGACACGATCGATCGGTATAGTTCGCTTGTGGACTACAGGCCACAGAGTAAGT